TAGATATATATATATATATATATATATAATATGAATCCAAATGCTTTGGAAACACAGTAAAACAAAGTTTTTGTGTTTATGGTTTTCTTTATGAATGAAGCATGTATACTCACCACTGTAATATGGTATAACTAAATGAACTTCAGTATTACAATTACTTTATTTATTAAATGAAGTCATTCAAAAACGTATATATATATAAATATGTATGTTTAAAACAAATTTAAAGTATGATTGTTTTCTCAATATGGTTATGAGAATAATTTTTGGACTGGTGATAGAAATAATATAAAGTTATATAATCACTTTTATGCCCACAATTACATAGACAAGCTTTATAGGTTATAGGTAGCAGACAACAACAAACCTTAAAACTGTGATTTATGTACAGTAAAGAGAATTGTCCTGTCTGCGGCTTTTTATACAGGAGGTAGTGTGTGATTATTAGATACGCTGTTTGTAAATACATGTAATGATTTGCAGAATTTTTCCAACAAAGTAAAGATTTCATCCAGAATATCTTGACCCACTTGCATAACTCCTTAAGCATAGATGAATTCCTATTTGAACATAAAGAAAAACGTCGCAGTATAACATTATGGGCAAGGAATCTTAATAGGGGGAAATGCCACTGTAGAACATTCACTTTGAGTCAATAACTCATTGGTGGTACCAAGTGATCAAATGTGTATAATATAAAAGAATTGTGTGTGTTTATTGGAGTGCTATTGTTTCAACATGTTCATATTAGAATTTCCACTGAATGTGATGCTACACCAATAATGTATATGTACAAAAATATTTTATATTGATATAAAGTTTAATCTCTGTAAATAATAATAAATGTTTATATAATGTAAATGGACTTATCCCTTGCATATGTTATTAAGGACAAATTAGTGTATACTTCATGTTCATGTGTTTCTTGAAATTATATGAAAGAACTGAAACTACATTAACTAAAATTCTAATCACATCTTAAAAAACTAACCTTTTGAAGTTTTTCACTGTGGTTTCACATCCTTATCAATACTGATCACCATGATTCCTTTTTCTGCTGTCTGGAAACAACTTGAAATATAATGTATATGATAGTGTTTTTTGTGCTAGTTTATGTTAAAAGTAAGACATTTTTTCTCACAATTTGATTGGCAATTTTTAGACTCTATAAAAAAAGATTTAATGGAATATTTTTATGTGTGGTGAGAAACTGGAAACAACCACTGAGGTGACACCAGAGGTGGAGGCTTTGGGATATCAATAATATAGGCACAGTATTAGGAATTAGAAATATTTTTTTAAACCATTTTCATAACTATTTTGTCCTCAATGTGCACTTTATAAATTCTACAGATTTTGCACAGTTCTTCAGCTGTTTTTCTCCCAATAATTTCAAGTCTTGAAAATTGGACTAATTTTTTAGAATTATGCCTTTAATATACTTTATAGTATTAGGACTATATCAGGCCTAGATGATATGCAGAGGATTTATAGAAATAATACATAATTTAATCATTTTACCCACAGTATAGGCCTATAGAGTGTAACAGTAAAAATGTACATATATTTCTAGATTTTTGGAATTAAAAATAAGAATATAATCCTTGTTTCTTAATATAGGCATTTGGATAATTTGAAGCTGCAAAAAAAATTTCCTACTTTAGGCTGCCAGTTTGAACAGTTGTCAGTAATAGTGTACGATGCTGACCAGCAAAGGGCTGCACAATTCACTAATATGAAACAGTGGTATCTCCTCTTATTAAGACTATCCTGTTATGAGTTACAGAAGCCATTGAACAGTTAAGAATTGTTAGAGTTATTGCTTATATTTACAGAACCTTTACTTGACAACATAATTTCATCTCTTTTAATGAAGGAATAAGTATATGTGTGAGCACCAGTGATATTCCAGGCATAATATAACTTTTTATTACTTATTCAAAAAGTGTTTTGTCAGTATGTTTTCAGTATGTAGTCCAGTTACAAATTTTGCTAGTTATTTACACTTTTTGTGTGTTGTAGTTTCTTTATACAATAATAATTAAGACAGTGTAAAATATAGTTGTAAAGCCAGAGAATGGCAAGCAAATATTGTCATAATGTAGCCAATAAAATGAAACAATCAATGAAACACAGTGCTTTTTAAAATCTTTATACTGTAGTTTTTGTTTTGTAGATAAACCTGTAATAGAAAAATAGTAGAAAGGTAGTACATAGAAGACATTTAAAGGAACATCACTCTCTCTCTCTCTCTTTCCTGTTTTTTTTTACCATAAAAGAGTATTATTCTTCATCCTTTTCTTGTACTGATATTTTGTTATGAAACTGTAAGTTTTAGGCTCAAGTGGGGTATTGTAGAACTCTCCTTCACAGGTTTTAATATATTTGCCTTTTACCTTTTCATGTTTTGGGAATTAAAGTGAGTTTTTTCTGTCTTACTCTGTTTTGAGGTTATCAGACCATTGCATTCACACCTGCTCTTTATTATTATTGAAATGTATTTTGTGTTTTATAATACTTGATTAACCCTTTCACCATGGAAAGCAACTATAGTCGATAGAAGATTAATTGTTGTTGGCCATCAAAAATTTTGTCCCTTTACAGCAGAAAGTGACAACTCTCCACAAGCTTGAACCGATTGCCAGACACTAAATGTGCCAGCATCTGGGAAGGTGAGCTGGAAATACAAGTATCAACAATCCCTCAGCTGGGTCACCAGCTGGCAGACAATATGAGGCACCCACACACAGAGATATCAGCTGATTGTTGTGTTTTCTCTCTGTTTTTTCCATAATTTAGGTAAGTTATTGATGCCATAACATCAAGATATGCAATGAAAATGTGTCATATATATATCATAATACAGTGAAATATACTGATAATTTACGATGTTTTTGATGGAGAAATGACATTGATTGAGGATTGACAGTGATATCTAATTATGCGGTGAAAGGGTTAATTTCATGCAGTTTTTTACAATATTTTGAGAGCTGTTATTTCATATTCTGTTTTTAAGTACTATTCTTTTCTTCTGTAGTACTGAAATGTTACTTTCAAAATACTATAATAAATTCTTTTTTACAACTCACATTTTATTTACTATATTTAGTGTATTACAAACAGTATTAGATGGCATCACATCATTTTAGTCACATTTTTCACTTACATAATATCAGTGCAGCTTCATTTGTAACTACCACTGCATTTATTTCCAATATATTCTTTTCTTGGGTCACTTCATTTTTGTGTGTGTGTGCTGTTGCAAAGTATTGATTATGAGTCATAATGTTTCTTAACAAATGTGTAACTAATAAAATGAATCTTTTGATTTTCTATTAAAAATCTTGTATTCAAAATAGATATTAAAGAAGGTGAGTTTAATACAGTTTTTGCTGGATGAGCTCCCAATACATTGCATATGTCAATTTGAGCAAGAATATACTTTACTACAGTTATCAAATTGGACACACAGATGACCTATGATACCATCAAAACAATACAGAATAGATGTTACAATATTTATTGAACTTGACACGTGGACAACCTTTGCAATAATTTCCTGGTTCAAGGAACACATAGGAGTAGAAAAGAATTAGAAGTAACAAATTACAAAAATACATATTCCAAGATATTCATGCAAAAATAGCCCTCCATCAATAGAAGAGCTACAGACTTCCATGTGCACTAACTCCTCCTTATGTATATGCACTTGTGAATCTTCATTCCTTTCCTCTGTACTATAGACATATTTAAATTTCATGTCTGCATTCAATTTATTGAGGCTTGCTTCATTAAGAAAACTTTGGTTTTTGTTTTCTTTAGCTTTCCTTTCAAAAGCTTTCAACTATTAATTGTATACTCCTCATTCTTAAGCTCTGGCTGTCGATTTCTCAGCTAGGCCTGGTCTTATCTTGCTCTCTATACCTACTTTGCTATTCATATCCTCCTTCTGGTCCTCAAGTGTACACACTACTCTCCTTCTTGGGGCCCTACTTTTGGTGCCTTAGCCATGGTTCACTTGATTTTCGGACCACCCCTTACTCTTCCTGTTATCATCTCTCTTACTTCTCACTCTCACACTTCCCTTCTTCATAGAGGGATATACCCCACTCCTCCTTCATGCATGGAATTTGCCAGATCTGTTGTCTATCTGGCTAGACTTTCCACTATTCTTGTCGTCATTCCACTGTATTTGACTATAACCATCTGTGGTGGGTCTTTAATCATTGGTCCTTCTTCCTGGCAATATTTTGTGTACTACCTTTCTTCCCTAACTGTCCATTGACAGATTCTGTCTTAGCCTTTCATATTTGTTGGATCACCCTGTCCATGGCCTTTCTCCTTTCCTGTAACGAAGAGGTGCTTGTTCTCGTGTCCTCTCTTCTGCTCCTTCATTCTCCTCAGTCCTTCTCACCTAATTCTTTTGCCTGACTGGGGTTTTGCACAATCTGGTACATGGCTCATTTGAACTGCTGACTTCCTGACTTTTGTATCGTTTTTATCGCATCACTTGTTTCCTCTTACGATTACCATTATTTCTTTAGATACTTTTGCAACTTCTTTCAACATACTTATTTTTTTCTCTCCCAGGACCATTCCTTTCTTCCTCAGACTTCGACCACTCGGGAGGTACACTACAATTCTCTCCTATCTCCCTTTCTTGTAGACCATTTGCACCAGGCTTTACTCCTGTGTACTGTTGGGCTGTTCAATGGCCTTATCATGGACCTCTCCCTTCAAGGGTCCCACCTTCATCTGTCTCTATCCCAGTACCCCTCTTTTTCAATGGACCTTTTCCCTTCTTCACTTACGGGATGGGTCTGTTGATTTCTACATTGACATTTTTATCTTGAGATGTAGATGCTGACAGACTATTTTCCATTTCTTCACATTTGATTTCTTGCCTTTTTTGTTCTCTCACATCTCTTTTTTTCGACAGCTCTTGGAAGAAGTCCTTCAGGCAGGCATTTATCTCCTTCTCGACATCTCCTGATGGTTTTTGGCTTCCATGGGTCGCCATTCTCCAACCACTCTACTGTCTTTTAGAAGAATATGTACTATTTCTCTTTCAGAAATCCTTTTTCATTACATAGGATCCCACTAGGTGGCTAGTATTGCCTCCCAGGGTATACTTACCAAATTCCATATCAAGCCAGGATAATGGAAAGTGCTCATACTATCTACTATGAGATGGGGTGTTCTGCAAGGCCACTTGAAGTATGCTCGTGGTATATATGGAATATCCCCAAAATGTTTGGATGCTATGGCCACAGACATTATCTGTTATGAGTTTTTCTGATGACAACAAGGACTGGTAATGAAAAAATTAATTTTGATTTTGAGTCTCTTCGTAATGTTTTGGATTTGTATTAATTTCATCATTATTGTTTTACAGTGCTGATTAAAAAATCGCCTATTTACAATTCAACTTATAGTCTGTTTCAGACTGTACCCATTCCATGGACTATGATGGAAAAAAAGCCAGCACCAGAGATATGTTTATGCCCACTTCTCTGGCTTACACTTGCTGGCTTTTAAAAATAGGTTTTGTGGTCACCCACTGTCTCCAGACTGAAGGATCAGTGATGATCTGGGCACCTTTTCCCATCCTCCCCAACATGATTTCACCTCCTTCTATTCATGGAGTCTGTGAGACCCTTGTCACTTACTAGTTTCTAGCCACTGGGGTGGACCTTGGAGAATCCTCACTGACTGGGGGCCTAACTGCTGGGGCTAGAACAAGAAATAATAATACAGTGAGAAGTGGGGCAGTGGTAACACTGTTGGAGTAGTGTGAGTCACCTCACATATAACTCTGATACATCACTAATGTCATGTGTGCCCTCCTCCTGCAGCCTGATCCTGTTCATTAGAGTTGAGGTGTGCATGTGCTACATATGAACTGATGTTGCATATTACAGTGCCCTTCTCCTGCAAATAGTCCATCTCATAAAATCTGTTCTGTTGAGTAAATGTGAGCACTATATACAAAAACCAATAAATATTTATATCTCACATGTTTTCGTCTTCCAGCCACCGTCTGTCTGGTAGAGTCAAGATGACCATACTCAATTGTGGTCCTTACTTACATAACAAATGTGGCCTCCTCCTGCATCTGTAGTCAGTCCTATTGAATCTGACTGTAGAGTTGAGGTGAGAAAAGATACTTATCACAAGTGCCCTCCTCCCACAGTTAATTTTGACCCATTGAGTCTGATGGTAGAGTTGAGGTGAGCATACAAGGTACAGTTTGAACAAGCCCCAGCCACACTACACATACTGGCTGTCTGATTTGTTGTGTGAATGTACTCGGATGCCCATGTACCAATTACGCACATCCCTGTGACATAAATTTTGCTTCAATGTCTTTTCCTTTTACCTATACAGGCAAAGACTGTTTCCTGGACAAGAAGAGATGCATTTTCCCACGGGTGTCATACCCCATGGCCATCATTCAGACACTTTCTCAAGGGTGTTCGTCTAGACAGGTATTGCATTGGTTCCTCCACAATATAAACGTGGGATTCTAGCTAATCTGTGTTAGAAAGTGAGTTATTGTCTGCGAAGTTAACATTTTCCTTACCTGAAAATGTATTTTTGATAGATACCTACGTACAAATTTCCATCCATCCTTCCCACTTTCGGTGCGCATTTTCTTATTTGCCTCATCAAAGAATGAAGATTTACGAGTGCAAATGCATAGAGGGAGTTAGTGCGCATAGAGGTGTGTTACCCTCCTATCAGTGGAGGGCTTTAGTCAATTGATTCCCCTCTTTTTTTACATAACATTTTCTTTTGAGGAAATCCATTTTGCTCAATATGTCATAGAACAATGAATACACAAGAGAAAACGTGATTTTGAACATTACAAAATAATATTTAAGTTTACTAAAATAAGGGAAAACATTATGAGGCATTAATAATGTATTAAAATATCTCAGTAGAATTCTTATATAACTTCATATTTACTTGTTTTAGATGTGAAGAACTCCAAACACGTCTTCATGGTATAAACCTTTATCCTGTGAAAATAAAATCGACTTAGAATACACACAAAAAGCTCAGTAGTAATCAATATTGAATTATGTATGTGAATTTTTTGGTTAGGCAGAATCTCTACTACAGTACAATATATCTCTCAATCCTCATCAGCACCACAGGTAATTTCCCCAGACAATTTTACATTACATCTACCTCGGACAACTTCCTATGCAGTTCCACTAAACAATGTTACACCACAGTTTACTCAATCTATAATGACCATCTTGAACAGCAATACAGGGTGACTCCCCCTCCCCCTTTAACTGTGCAATTATTTCTGATACACTGTGAATCCCTCAAAGAGTACAACACTCAAAAATGTGTTAAACTTCATTATGAGTAAACCAACAAACAATAACTGTATACTGTTGGCTCCATCACTGCTAGGAATCGAGTTCCTCCAAATTTAAATGCAATGATTTGTTAAAGCTCGAAATTCGACACACTTAATATCTCTTGACAATGTACAGGGTTAATGTGTATATCATAATTGTTTGAAGCTCTATCAATTATAAGCTCAAAAACAATTATGTTTTAAAATAATCATAATAATAAGAAACATGAAGGACAAGAAAATTACCAGAAGTTCTTCGAATTTCTTTTCAGAGTCCTCTTCTGACATTGTGCTGCGAAGAATATCCTTCACTGCCTTTCTAACACCGTCCGCCATAACTGCATCGCCACAAACGTACACGTGACCACCTAACGACAGGAACTTGATCACCATCTTTTTCTTTTCCTTTAGAACATCCTGAACGTATTTCTGTTTCAAAAAATTTTACTCTTCAGGTTATGAAATATTCCGTTTTCTAAAGGTACAAGCACAGCCATTCTTGGGTTACACGTATTCTTACTCTTTCAGTAGTGAATAATAAAGCGTACATAGAAGAGACGGAAATGTTAGTCAAGGTGACACACCCAGGTCATGCCGAGAATTAATAGGCACATCTTATAACCAATGTATGATAATGCGAACTAGTTACAGCTGCCCCGTCATGCAAATTATGCGATTAAGGGGGGTGGGTAGTATTAATTGCCATAACCCGACATGTTACAGCTGCCCCGTCATGCAACTTATGCGATTGAGGGGGGGGGGGGAGGTAGCATTAATTGCCATAACCCGGTCCCAAGAAAACTCATCTCACCATTTAAAATATTTGTACGTTCGAAGCTTTATTACATTTCTCTAAGAATAGAAAGTTTCAAACTTGCAGGTATTTGTATTTTTTTCTCTAGTGGAAAAGATTACATTGCTACGCCAGTGTTGCCAACTTTACTTAAAATTTGTTTTTATTTTTCCTGTGGTTATTGAGTTAATACACGATAACTTGCAAGTCGCGACTGCCTTTAAAGTTACAGTGCCGTCCTAGAAAAAATACGATATAAAACATCGTACAACTAAGTGACGAGCTGCATTTGTCAATAAAAGAGCTAAATACTAGAATGTTCTCGAATATCCTTAGATTATTTATCAGTGTCTGGTGTACATATTACAAGAGGTTTACTTATGATCCTATCATAACAATTACCAAGAAATTATAGTTTTAATTTTTACCTTATATTATCAAAATGATTTGGTGTGCTCAGTACGTTGCCCATTTAAAACCAAGAGAAACGTATTTGACAGCAGGGATGTAGCCAGAATTTTGAGATTTAGCGAGTGCACATTGGTAGGATTTGCCTTGTATACACCCTTCTAATTATTATTTCCCATCGTAACAAATCCTCACTTACTTGTCATTCATGATGAAGACAAGTGTTCGGCTTGATTAAAATACAGTAAATTTATTTGAATAATTCATTACCTAATTGTTAGGATATACACATTCACCATATGTTCCTTCACGCATTTTTTTTTTTCCATTATCAATAAATGCCCCCCAGTGGCTCAGTGGTTTGTCTGTGGACTTGCAATGCTAAAAACCAGGTTTCGATACCCGTGGTGGGCACTGCACAGATAGCCCATTGTTTAACTTTGTGCTTAATTACAAACGAACTAACAAAACTAGTTATAAATAGTCGTTCGGTGGGACAGCGGTAAGTCTACAGAATTACAACACTAAATTTCAGGGTTCAATTTCCCTCGGTGAACACAGCAGATAGTCCAATGTAGCTTTGTTCTAAAAAAAAACAAGCCATAAATAGCCTATGTAAAAAAGCAAAAAAAAGAACTCTTGTTTTCCTTACCTAGAGTTACAGACAGTAGCTTAAATGTCTAGTATTATAGCCAATACATAAATTATTATTCTAATATCAAAATATACAGTCCTTGATGTCACTGAAAACATTTTGCGTTGTCTATTATTAACACTCATTTTAAAACTGTTTTAAATACACTTTTCTTATATTTGTTTGGTAACTACATTTCTTGCTTCCCCTGTGATTAGAAAGAGATAAGTTATAGTCACGCGCCCCGACATGCATGCACGTTGTTTCTGAGACTAATGTATTTAATGTTATATCTTTAACGAAAAATTACAAACAATTACCTTGCCGCAACTTTCAAAATATGAGGGAGACAATGATTGATAAAGTTATGTTTCCATTATACTTAATTGTACACCATTATTCATCTTTGTCCTCTCTAAAATGAAGTAACAAGCAAAGCAGAGAATAAAATGGCCAAAACTCTTGTAATATGTCTTTGAAATGGACAGTAATTAACACTCATAAGAAAGTAAGCCATGAACTTTTAGGTCAAGACTCAAGACAAACTTCGCATCTCCTTGAAAATACAACTAATTGGAAAACTTTGGAAATACACTATAGTTGGACTTGAGCATTTCGTCTTTCTAAAAATACTATCTGCTGATAAAGTTAAAACTAACCTTTTTATGACCAGGTTCTCTTGACAATGCATAGTAGACCTTATGTAAAACACCTTTACTAACTAATCGGGATGTCTCATTCTCGTAAATTGAGTCTACACCAAACTGTCTACAACCGAAGATCAATACCATCTTGCCACAATTAAGAGGCACTTCGTTGTTATTTAATTCTTTCTTTTCTTGCACCTGGATCTCCATTTCTCGCTGTTGCCAGAAGCTCCTGAAAGGGGCGATGCCGCTGCCTGCGCCAACCATGATGATAGGGAGAGATCTGTCAGCAGGCATGTGAAAATTTTGAGCACTGGAAATATAAATAAAAAAAAAAAAAAAACTATTTAACTGCGGTGAATCTTCAAACATGTTTTATCTTATCTTAAAGGTACAGGTGCATCCTTTTCCTTAAATCTGGAAGAATCTCTACAGATATCCCATAATTAACTTAATGTAAAGACTCAATGCACCACTTATTCTATACGTACACAGCTACAATGGAATAAAGATGTGAGAAAATGGTAGATTTAAAATTCTTTGGAAAAACAAACAGAAACGTATTTGTTGGTAGAGTTTTAGAGCCACATGCACGAGACCGGAGATGGCTTATGACGATGCGGCGTTACTTTCAATAGTTTCAACGATACTCACTTTCTATACAGCTTAGTCAGTTTTGTTTGTTTGTTTTTGTTGAATTTTGCGCAAAGCTACTCGAGAGCTATCTGCGCTAACCGCCCTAATTTTGAAATGATAGATTAGAGCAGTGGTCGGCAACCTTTTTTTTGATCGCGGGTCAATTATTTTTATTTTATTTTTTTAAATTTAGCATTGTGTTGGGTCAGTGATAATCATATAATGATTGTGTCCTTACGGGTTGCAATGGTGAAGCCAACTCTTGGCGGGTCAGCCAAATTATTGCCGCGGGTCATAGGTTGCCGACCACTGGACTAGAGGGAAGTCAGCTAGTCAACACTTGGGTTACTCTTTTACCAATGAACAGAGGGATTGATCGACACATTATAACGCCCCTAATGCTGAAAGGGCGAGCATGTTCGGTGATGGGATTCAAACCCGCGAACCGCAGTCTGCTAGTCGAGTTTCCTAACCACCAGGACATGTCAGGCCTCAAAAATAAGCCTTAAAGGCAGCACTCGAGTTTAAAAAAAAAGTTAACTAGAGGATCTACTAAAATTTATTCACAGATGCATGTTTTCACAATTAGGAATTAGATAGTCAGAGTTTCGGTTTCTTCTTTCTGTTAACCTGGGGAATCCAATTCACCTCGGTTCCCCATCAATTTGGGCACTGCTTAAAGGTTTTTCATTTTTATTTGTACGCCTTTAAACAATCTTCTTGTTTAAAGTATCAATATTAAAGTATTCGAAACAATTTTGTCGATTTATGATTTGTCTATACAGTATGGAAAGTATTCACATTTGTTTCTCTATCTTCTTGTATTAGCCTGCAATTCTCAGACTTGCTATCCTCTTTTAAATGACAAACTTACTTTCTGATAAAACAAGGAGTTTCTTGTTCTGGAAGACTATCCAGATAGGATGTGCAGACGCCCACACGAACTGGCCCTTTTCCGTCTAGAAGTAACAGACAAATAATCACAGATCAGATAAACTTCTTGCTCTAAATATAATTGTTTTGAGTCTTCTGTCAGTTAGTTCCACCACAATATTTTCGTTATTATCCGTTTTCTAATTAAATAGGTGAGATAGTTTACAACAACTAAACTCTCTGAATATTCACCTAATTGTGTTTCGTTGTAATTTTTATAACAAGATTTGTCTCCGTTTGTTATACAGACATACATTTTGTTTGGAGACTGTATTGCTTTAAGTTAGGCTTACAGGAAACAGAACTCATTCACAGTGACGGTAGACTATGCAGTGTTAAATTGAAAGCAGTTATTCTTCGTGTCGCTTATCCAGTTATCTTATGATATTTGAAATTTTTAGTAAAATAACTGAAACTATACTCGGTCTTTTATAATCCATAGGTTTGTTTGTTAAGCGCAAAATTACACAATTTTTCCTGTGCCCACCACGAGTCTCGAACCCGATGTTTAACGTTATAAACCTTCATAAAATCCATAGGACTAACACGTAAGTATGTACATCATGTATAGTATACTGACTCTACAAAATTTTAGTTTGTGAAATATTTCTATGAAATAAACTGAAATTGTGTAAAAATATTACTAAAGATATGTATATATATTTTCTGTACCTTTTGTCCGAAACTTAACCAGTGACACCGTGAGGTGAATTTCACTCTTTGCAAATGCTGGTGAGCTGCTAATGCTGTAGTAACGAGGCTGCAGTAATGGTAGTTGAGTCAGCAAGAAGACGGTAGTCATGTGAATAGATGGAAACTCTTCAAGGACATCGGCGAACGTTGGATATTTAAACTTCTTCCACGATTCGTATTCTTTCACGTCCTGAGACAAAACTCTGATTTATCAATGCTTTCTTGCAAACGGAACTCCTCCCAGCAAAAATTATTAATAGAAAAAAATCTTATACAACCAATGCGTTCATCTATTTAACATTTCAAAAGTCAATTATTTGCTAAACCCCTAGATTTACAGCATGCATTTTACCATACTTATATTGTGACTAATACTTTTTCTTGGTAACAGACATTTATATAAACATATATTTTAAGAACTACATTGTATATCATGTTCTTATGTCTGTTTATCTAATTTTTTCCTTAATTATCAAAATTATAAATTTTGGCGAAAAACAGAGTAACAGGAGTTGCCACATGTCACTGAATTAGACCGAAATCAGTTGAATCCCATTACTTTATGCTGACCATAAACACATTTATTTATTTGTAATTACAAGTAAAAATTGACATGTTACTTTTCAGAAACCTATAGGAATTAAATTATTTGAAGTACATTGTTTGTTTGTAGTTAAGCACAAAGCTACACAATGGACTATCTGTGCCCGGATTCTAGCGTTGTAAGTCCGCAGACATACCGCTGTGCCACTGGGGCTTTAGGTACATAGAGTTCAGTTTTGAAAACAAAACATTTATTGCTCGTTAGTAATATTTCTATAACACTACTTCCAATAAGTAAGAAGAAAAATAAGGTAAAATAAGTACGTGTTATACCAAAAAAGGCACTTGAAGCTAGTACCAAGCGAAATAAAGGTTTTATTTTTAAGAAAAGCAAATCTACATTTTATACCTACAAATAAGTTGCTTTTAGCAACAGTAAAACTAACAATCTCACTTCACAAAGTACTCCAAGCCTGTTTTGGTCTTCTTTGTTTGTAGCCATAGCTGAAAGTAGTTTCAATACCCTAATACTAGGCGGTGTCGTGATGTCTAAATATCTGGATAGGGCTGTGCGTAAGGTAGACGGGGGAAGTCGTTGGTAGGGCTGCCATCTATCAACTGAAATATAGTTTCAATTACTTTATGTTAATCCAGTTATGACTCATAACTCTATTGTTGAAACATATACATAGAATTTTATATGCGCTAATGTGGTAAGTATTGCAACTAAGTAACTTATTTTATTTGCTTTATTTTAAAACTCACTATATTTTCAGCAGCATCAATAATTCAAGCCTCGGCAAAAAAATTTAAATTTGAATTTTACACTAGCGGAGTTTAGCACCAGCCAAAGTACAGGTCCGCCTCCTTCCAATTATGGAGTCCTGTCGCAGCACGTTTGTAAATATACCATTCCTAATTTAGAACCACCGACCACAGGGAAGTAAACGGCGGTGTCGAGCTTTCCCTCCCCCCTTATCATTATTTATTACAGCATATCTTTTTTCTTATTATTTTCAACACCAAGTACGAAATGCAAATAAGATGATTTTAATACTATTTCATCTGCAACTATATTATAAGAGGTTCTTCTAGAAATAACGACCAGTTCAATTTGATTCAAGCAGCATCTGTTCTTTCCACTTTTTAAATAACAAGAAAAATTTGCAAATCTAAAATTCCTGCCATTTCCGATTCATATGCTATATTGTATATTATACATTAAATATTATATAATAAATCTTATAACATTATTATAATAAATAATAAGATCTATTTTATAGATTAAATTAAAAAGAAACAATTGTTTAATAGGTCTACATGTTAAAGTAACTATCATTCAGGAAGGCTAAAAGTACAAAATGTGGATGCACGTATCTGTAATTAAGCTTATATATTGCTACAAAATATATGATGTAGATAGGTTTGAAAATCTAACATTTTTTCTTAGTTCCAGTGTTCGGTGAAATTTTCATGGTTGTCTTTTGAATTGATTGTTTTCATTTTCTAAAAATTGTAATGTTCTTTTGAAGATCCCATTCTAATTTAAAAAAACAACAGCAACAAAAATTCATTGAAACAGCATCAGCTGTACTACATCGATCCTTTTGAAGAGGGTTACAAAGGGTGAATCAACCTAGAGGTCTCAAGTTTCCACAGCAAAAGCCCAAGAAGGTCCAAATGAAAACCACCCTAACCGCGAAAGATCAGATGCTCTTTATTTTCTAAGAACTCGTGAGAATGTATAATATTTTATCAAACACGCCATATCTAGTATATTCATTATCGGCGTGGCCTTTTGTTAAATACCAGGGCTCAGGATACGATAGACACAGTATTTAGTGAGAAGCTATATACAATATATATTATTATTAAATTGCATGATGTTATGGTGTGAGTTAAATTAAGTTGGTGAAGTGTTAGAGTTGGCGGTGGGTGGTGATGACTAGCTGCCTTCCCTCTAGTCTTACAGTGCTAAATTAGGGACGGCTAGCGCAGATAGCCCTCGTGTAGCTTTGCGCGAAATTAAAAAACAAACAAACAATCGTCCAATATCAGGGCTCATTGGGTTGGGATACGACAGACACAGTAGTATTTGAGACTGTTTATATTGTCAAATTACATGAACAACAACAACTGTTATGGTGTCAACTAAATTAAATTATTACTTATTAATTTTAACATTAATCATTGATTATTATTATTACTTTTAATAGCAAGAAATGAATAGTGTGGCTTAAATGAAGACTTAAATTGCCAAACAGGAAATACATCAAAGAGAACGCAACGACAGAGCACGATAAAAAGCTTAGGGCAGATAATGGCTATTTACAAGCAGGGAAAAACTTACCATTTTCCATAGGACTCAATAAAGTCGAAACATATTGTTTTTTGCATAAATTTCCTATGCGCAAAACTACACCGTAGGCTATCTGCGCGTTATTGGCCTTAATTTCTACTGCTGAGCCATCAGGAGGATCCAAAGAACTACAGAACAACTGATGAATGAAATAAAAACCAGACAAGGGTTTCTTCAAAGTTCATGAAATTAACTAATACTAATACAAAGCACAGTAGTACAAAGATATGACCCAAAAACACAATATGACAGTGGTACATTTGATGAAGGAATTACATTGCTTATATGTGTACTACTAGAGTACACAAGTACTCTTATGTAGCAGCTAGTGGTTAATGAAAAGGTTTATCAAAACAAGTCAAAAAACAAACATTTTAATGACTGAGTTGCTCCAAATGTCTTTCTTTTCATTAAATGACTGTAAAGTCATTACGCTTCCTTTGTAACATTTAAATAAGTATTAAAGTATTATTGATATATTATTGTTTATCTTATTGTGTTAAATGTTGAAAAAATAATAAGAAGAAAACACTAGACTGCGAATGTGTTTTTTTTCTAAATTCTATTAATTTCTTCACTGCTGATTTCAGATCCGATGAGAATTTTTTTTTAATTTATTCTTACATATCATTCTTAACGGCTCAAAATTCCTAGCCTAAGTTTAACAAAAGTTGTTCTTTCGTTGTTAAGCAGAAATCTGCACATTGGGCTATTAGTGCTTTGCCTATCTTGGGTATTGAAACCCGATTTTTATGTTATAAGCCCTCAGGCTTACCGCTGAGCCACCGGAGATTTTAATAACAGAACTCGCTAGCTGAGTTGGGCATAATAGCAGACAAAAAGCTATCCAAATTTTATTTTATATTTAGAACGAAACATGTCATGTTACAGCGTTATACAACGAAAGGAAGTGAGCAATGAAACTAATAGGCCTAATAACTGAAATAAAAACAACAATAGACCACAGGTGTTTTTCTACACATTTCTCTTAGTTAGTTCGTTACAGGTTTAAAATCAGAAGCGTGAAAACATAGCATTTTAGATCAATTTTCTGTGTGATATCTCGAAAAGCCTGTGATTTGAAACACCATGTACTAACAAGAGGAATGGCAGAAAAAAGTTAGCAATGTAGTACGATTTTTATAACGAATTTTAGGCTTAATGTTTATTTCAATTACCGAACTTTGAAGTTTAGATTTTTGTTCGAACACTAGTTGAGGATATAAAAATTTATTACGATGTTCCATACAAACGTACTGCTATAAAATATTTGTAAGGTCAACTGCTTAACTTCCGGGTTTTTAACTTTTTGTTTCTGTCAACAAATGTTACTAACCTCTTTGTTCTTTAAATATTTAAATGTTCGTTGACATAAAATTAATTTTCATCATTTATTCTGACTTTTGATGACTTCCCAGTTCATCCCTGATTAAGAAAGGTCAAATTTTAGCAAACACTTGGATTACAGAGTTCTAAAATTCTGATCTATTTAATTACTTTGTTTTATGTACTTACAAACAGTAGGATGGTGTTTATTGTAACTGTACATTCCCATAACCAAGTTTACTTTTTATTATATACGAATTACTAGTGTTACATTTAGTTGGTATTCAAACCCTACCAGATATGTTCAGGAGATAGATGCGCTAATCACTAGACTGGAATGATACTTCAGTAAGGAAGAACATTATGTTCATATAATAATAGGTTTGCAAACGACGATGTATAAGCACAATGAATAATTTTATTGATGGTGGAACATACAGTCTTGGCTAAAATGTTTGCATACTGTTTTATATTGATGATGTTATCTACATGCATGGAGTAGTTATTCAGTAAGTGCCCGAGTAGTAATAGAGAAGGTACCGTATGATCGGACAAACATGTACGAGTTGTTATTCTGGTCTGTATAAGTTATTTTGCGTAGTTGTTCGTCAAAACACACATACACATCTATTGTGTATAAAAGGGTGTGCTTTTGTTATAATCTTTGTCGAAACAGATCAACGCTTTGTTCAGGCAATTTCTCTGTACTTGGTTTAGAGTCATGCCTTGTCACGTGCCGGAAGTTATAGGGTGTCAAACTGTTCGACTGTCCAGAAATGGTATGAAGCAAACGGACATTGCCAGAACAGTAGTGTGTCCCCAGTGTACTGTATCCAGAATCCTGAAACGTCATACTACTACAGGAAACGTTGTTCCAAGAAAGTCTACTGGTAGACGCCGAAAAACTACTGCCCGAGATGACCATGTTTTGATCTTGGTTTGACAGTGCTAAGTGTATTTGCTCAAAACTTGAAAATAGCGTTGATATCTGGACCAATTGTTGGTTGAGATGTTGCAAAAG